TGAAATTAGACATGTTTATTTCTTCTGCTGAATTTATAGCTATAGTCGTAAAAATTAATCATTACTGATTTACAGTATTGTGAATATCAGTACAGATTGCTTATGTTGCTTGGTGAGACTATGTCCTTTCCATTAATATCCAACATAGTTCCTCCAAGAGAAGTAACTTATTTTATTAGCTGCAGAGGTAATTTAAGATCTTAGAAATTAATTGAAAAGAGACAAGCTTAATCCTCTGAGTCTGCATGCTGCAGGTGAGGTAAACAGTTGGAGTTTCCAAGTTATCTTGAACCTGAACGTGGGAGCATTGCTATTATTTATTTGCAGAAGCTTGAAACAGTCTTTCCACTTCTGCAGTGAAAATCCCAGCCACAGTCTTTAGTCATTCACAGGAAAAGAAAATCAATAGTTTATTCCATTATTCAGCACTGTGTATAATTTGTATAACAAGAGGTTTTGATGGATGTTTTTCAAGTTTTCCTTGGTTTTGGAATTGATAGTGGGTGAGGGGATCCTATGGACCCCTCCTAGGCTATGTTATAAATCTTTCCACAGCCACACAAATGCAGCAAGCCTAGGGGTTTTTCCCTCCTTTGCATTTTTTTTCTTTACAAATAAATGGATAAAGCAATTAACCTTTACATTTTGTCTTAAGTATTTACTTCTGTACATTGAGGACTTAAAGGACTTAACTGCATGTATGCAAATTTGGAGCGTAAATGTTCTTTTGTTGCTTACACTGAGAATCTAGCAGATTGTCAAATACCTTCTATAGATTTATTGCCTTCTTTCTAAGTTGTTATCATTTCTTCAACTGTGATTTATAATTTCATCAAAAACAGACCAAGTATCTTGTAAGGGATGTATGGATGTATGGTTTTCATTATTGTGTCTAGACACAGATGGAGCAAATTACCAAAATATTCTGTATACTTACTATTACACCAGTTAACGTGTAGTGAATAGCCTACCTGTTGCCAGGGAAATTTTTCATCTGGAAAAATATTAGTAGTCCTGTTTATCAGAGAGGGTAAAAGGAAGGTCCAGGTATCAGCTGATTCAAGATCATTTTCAGGATTTAGTTTGATCCATTTTTAAATGTCTCAGAGAGGGAAGTTTCTCTCATGTGTTTCAGTGAGGATATTTTAAAAATCAGTAGTTGAATTAATATGATTTTTAGACTCTGATTCCTCTGAACAGCTTCAATCAGTTTTCCTACCCCACCAAACATTTTGAAGAGTACTTTTGTGTAAATTAATTACAGGAACTAATTATTAGAATTTCTCTGAAGCAAACAGCAAAATCAAATGTTGTGCTCTTTAATAACTGAGATTTTAAAATACATCATTACATGCTGTTGCTTTTTCTTTTTGATATTAAAAAAAAGCCCAATGAAACAACTAAACTCTGAAAGCATTGGTCAGTTTGCCCATGAGGAGAGAATATAGAGGCAATGAACCCTTCCTACTGAATAGCCAAATCCCTTGTGCCATTATCTGTGTGCTCACACAAAAAATGAAGCACCAAAAATAATATGCTTCAAAGAAACCCTGTAGTTTCATATTTATATATATATATATGTGTGTGTGTGTGTAGCAGTAACTGATTATGGTTTTTGCTTCATTAGATACACAAATAGGCTGATAACCATGTGCTGCCAAACATCATAAAGCACAATGGATAAGAGAGCAGCAGTTTATCTTTAGGCAGTGTCCTAATCTAGCTGCTTTATGAATGGAAGGATTTTCCTTTATTTCAGACCAAGTTTTATTGGTTTAATATTAAAAGTAAAATTTAGCCCTGTTCCTTCCAGACAGATAATCTGTTCAGAGTACTTGAGCTGTCCCAAGGTAGCTCCCAGCATGCTATCATGTTGCATTTTGTGGTCAAGACAATAATCTACCAAGGACAATTTAACAACTCTTATGAGTTTATTTGAAGCGATAAATTTCATTTGCAGAGGAAAATACTTTGCTGTTGCTCTGATTTCCTAAAGCTGTCTTTATGCCAAAGTCAGCTTGTCCTTAGAAAAGGTTAAAATGTCTGTAGAGGTTTATAATGGGTACTTTCATGTCCGTGATTTTTCAGTTAGATTTACATGATGAGTTTATATTTCTGTTCATAGTGTTAATATGACTAAGAAAAAAGCTGCAGCAAACCACAATCCAGACACAAGGCAGCATGTTGTTTTGTGGAGCACTAATAAATTAATCCATTAGTGACTGCAAATTTATTTTCTCTTGTCCTCGTTATCAAGTATTCACAGGTGTGTTTGTATTTAGCCAGTCTAAATTAAAAGGGCTTTAATACTAGCAACACATTACCATAGTGCCAGGACCACAAGGCACAGTATTTTTCCCACATCAACATGAAAATGGAGAAATACTGATAAAATAAACAATAAAAGTGAATAATCTTCCTATCGGAGAGATATATTAGTTTCTAAGAACATAGCAATACCACAAAGAAAGAAGAAACCACGATAACAAAAGTAAAATACAGTCACATTATTTGGTTAATGACCCCATCTTGTGGAGCAGCCCCCACGCTTCAGCACGTTTATAGCTCTCATATGCATTTTTTTTCCTACCAGAGTCCATTTCTTGACAGTGAATTACTTGGCATTGCACTTGCTGTGTCCAGGGAAGTGCTCTGCAGGCAGTTCATCATCCCTGCACCAGGGCTGTACAGCAATAGAACAGCTCTTTGTCACACCATGAATTGCCAGGGTCAATACTTCACATTTTAGTGTTTGGTTCAGTCTCAGGTCAGCACCACAGCTCACATCCCCCACCAGCCCTGCTGGGTATCTCCTGCTGCTGTGTGTCTCTCACATGGACCTGCTGGGAGAGTTTCTTGCTGCTGTTAAGAGGGGACAAAGCCGTCTCCAAAGCTGGAGCTTGCAGAGTTGCTGATTTGCATCACAGCAGGGCCAGTGAGAGCTTTCACTGGGCTGGTGCCTGGTCACCGAGGGGCAGTGATGCTCATAACCAGTGACAGTGTGTGCTGATCTGCCAGATCCTAACCATTTCCTTGCCTTCTGCTCCCAAAGAGCTGCTCACTGAGCTTGTTGAACTACTGCTTGATTGGCAGCTTGGATATTTTATTGTAAAGGTTTATCCCACTGGACATCCTTTTATTGTAATCTGGGGAGATCAGCTTTGTCAGCAATATATATTTTGCTGGTTGCTGAAGTTGTATGCATATGAGATATTAAAAATAAATCACCTGACATGTTTCCACACTTTCCAGCTGAACATGTTTCCCAGGAAGGCTCCATATATCCTTGATTCTCACCTAAGTATAAGCCACTCAAATATGAACTGAAATGCCTTTTTTCATCTTTTTAAAGGAAAAGTATTTTTTGTATCTGTTTTTTGAGGAAGTGGTTTTTAACCATGTTGGTGAACTCAAAGGGAGGATTGTAGGTTGCAAATGGAAAACAAGTAGAGAAGGTGTATAGCCAAGTTAGGAAAGAAGAAATTTTTTTTCAGCTGTTCTACGTAGACTTAAGAAGATGATACTGTATGATCTTCCTCCATGTGTCAATATCTTTAGTTCCTTGGAGACCAGATTATGGTGCTTTGATTTCTGCTATCTGTTTTTAAAGTAAGGAATTTTCAACTGCATTTTGATCTGATTTACAGAAGGAATCAAAGGTGTGAATTGCATATAGATAAGGTTTGCACATTTCACAGGTACAGAAAATTAGGCGGGGGAAAAAAACTACAAATCTCTGTAAATATAATATGTTTGATGCACTTCTGCTATATCTCATGCTTTTATAAAAATTACATTCTCATTAAAATTTCAAGTCCTGTCAAATGTACTAGGGATGTTTGTACGTGATATTTGTATGTGAGTGCAAGAATACAGATAATGATCTGTGGATAATGTGGAATACATCTGTGTATGGTTTTGAGTTATGTATTTTCAAAAGGAAAGATTAATTTGTCACTAAACTTCCATAATGTGCCTTCCCTAACACCATGCTAACAAGGTATTTATGCCATACACCATCATCTTGTGTTCTTTGCTTTTGAAGTGCATGAAAATAAAATGTGGACTTTATCAGCTGTTCCATAGATTTGTATGCTAAGTGAACTGAGCAAGCTTATGCTCAGTGCCTTCTCCTGGGTGGATTGAAAGGGTGCAAAAGGTGAAGAATTTCCAGCATTTTCAACAGAAACCCAAATATTCCATGATCTCATCACAGGTCCCAGGGTTGGCAATAAAATGAAGTGTTGAAACTAACTCTTGGGTTATGTTGGAAAATCTTTTAGCTTTGCTATGTAGTTCTTAGAGGACTCTAATTCATTATGTAAAAAAGAGCCCTGAAATGTTTAGAAGTCCATGTGATAATTCAGTCAATATTCTAATAATGTTAAGGTTTTTGCTTCACATTGGGATGTCTTGAAATGATTGCATCCTGTCTGTGTGATGGCCAAGCTGGGAATGTGGCTTCCCTTTCCTGCTGTTGGATTTTGTTGTGCAGCAGAGAGCAGGTAGGAGTCATGTTGGGTGCCAGTGTGGCTGCTGTGCTGAGGTGAGAGCTGCCAAACTCAGTGAAAGCCTTCCATTCATCTCTTCAGGTTTTGGTCCCTGTCAGAGAAAATGAAAGAAAGAGCCTTGTCTAACTAAGGACAGTGGTGAGCAGGTTGAGAGAGGAGTTTCAGGAGGATGGGAAAATGAAATCCCTTTAGGTAGCTGCCTTGAACATAAAGTCAAATATAAAAGCATTCATTTCCTACCCCAAATGCACATCTCTTCGTGTGACAGCTGAGTGCCCTAAATTCCACCTTAGGATTGCCTTTGTGGGTCAGAGTTGTGCCTTTGTTTTGGACCTGTACCCACACAGTGGGCCCTGACCCCACACTGTTCTGCAGCACTGCCATATCAAGAGTTGTATTTTATTGTATTTTACACAATTTGTATTTTACTCTGTTTCTAATATTTCTGTTTCTTTTCTCATTTTCTTTTACATGCTTTCATGAGTATAGCAGACCATTTAGGAATTGAATTCATGGGTAAGTTTTACCTTCTCTTCCTTTCAATTGCTCAGATTTATCTTGTTTCCTTAGTCCAAAGAACATGGAAGTTAATGGGAAGACTCCCGTGACCTCCACCACTGGGTTTTGGATTGGGTTCCTTTTATACTTGCCAATTGTATTTGAAATTATATGAAGGTTTAATTTTTTCTCTTGTCCACTGCTGTGGATCTTAAAACCTTCATAATGATGTTTTAGTATTTCATTGGTATTTAATGAAACATAACATAAAGGTTATGTGACCATATAATCTTGAGGAACAGTATTTTATATGCGATTTTAGGGTAGAGTTACTAACTTTTTCATGTAGAGGAAAGTAAATTTTAAATCAGATTTTTTTTTCATTTGTTAAGAATTTGTTGGTAATTGCAATATTAATAAGATTTAATAAGAAACATCTTATTAAAGACAACTCAAATCAGAGAAATACTTTCAAGAAAAGAGTCAAAGATCCATCATTCTGTGAAAAAAAGTTAAATTGGTTAGAAAAAAGCTAAAAATGGAGTGACTAACATACAATTTTGGAAAGGAAGATAACATTCTGTTGGCTCAGCTGCAGCTCTGTGATGTGTTCATAGCCTCGTGGAATGACAGGCTTAACAGATCACCTCTCTGCTGGTGATCTTCAGACTTGAGGAAGCTGAGATCCATCTCTAACAGAGTTAGTGGTCCTTTGTGTAAGAACAGCTTGCATAAACCATTAAATATGAATGAAAACACTGTAATAAAAGGCATGCAATTTCCTATTGAAGTCACAAACCACTTATTTTTAATATGCTCTTTCCCTATGCTAAGTTTTACTTGATTTTTTTAGATTTTATAATTAAGAGCATTATAAACTATCAATTTTTAAGTTCCAGCATGGGGATTTTGTTGATCACTTAAGTGTAAATTGTCAAGAACCCCATAAGGTGATGAATATTACCTGCATGGCTGCAGGAGCAAGAGGAGAGCCAGCAGGCTCAGGGATTTTGTCCTACTGCTTTTGGGTTTGTGCCAATCCTAGAGCATTGTTCTCTCTAGGGAACTGGTTCATGAGGCCCAGAAGTTTTGTGTTTCACTTCACTTTATGTGAGGCTTGTCAAGTGCCAGTGGAATCAATGCAAGTGTCTTCAAAGACTTATTGGACAAGCACAGCTGGGGAATGGTTACTTGAAAAGCTCTGCATATATCCTGCTTTTCCTGCTTAGCTTAAATTGTGAGCAGCAGTCTTGAGGCATACGAGTTGAAGGACAAGCATATATTTAAAAGAGGATAAGGAGTACAGGTATATGAGATGCTTTGTGAGTGAACCTTTCTGTAAGAAGCAGGAAAGTGTAACCCAAGATGCAAAGCTGAATTATTTTAATTTTATTTTGAGACTTTCAGTTTCCTTTCTTTTTTTTAAGACATCTCTTTAAGGCATGAACTAAAGCCAATCCCTGAAATCTTGGCTCACAATAGTCCTCTCATATGAGTAGCTTTCAGATTTTTTTATTTAATATTGGAGAAGATCCTGATGGCATAAAAATTAATGAAATCTTGAGTATCAAGCCTGAAAATATTATGACAGCAGCCTAAAATGATGCTTAGAGTTGTTTTCTCTGGGCTAGAAAAAAACAAGTTCTGGAATCATATGCAGAAGTGAAATGCTTGTGCTTCTTAAATCCTCTTCTGGTCTTCATGAAGATTTACTTAGGAAATGAAAGCATGCATGGAATCATTGCTGTACCTGTAAGCAATCCACAGCCTGTGCACAGAGAGTTCAGGTGACAGTATGCTCATCAAATTAGGGACTCTCCTGTAAAGCCTCTAGGATGAGTGTACTTCTGGACTGTAGAAGGTAATGACAATCAGTGCAAAAAGTGTTTTCTACCTAGGAAAAACAACAATGTAGAGATAGTGCTGAACTTGCTTTGTTTCTATGTAATCCAGAGAACACTCCTGTTTTCGTTGCATTTGTGGGCTCACTTACCTTGGAAATTCCATTTTCATCATCATCTTCCAGAAATTATGTTTGCAAACCATGTAAACCATTTGAGTTGGATTGCCAGGGCCAGCTGAATTCCTTCCATGGTAGACAAAGCTGAAACCTCATGTCAGTGGGAGCATCTGTCTGTAGAGGTGTCCAGGGGGACAGACGAAATGTGCACTGAAACTACACACCTGCTTTGTACATTTGCCAAGGAAGGTAGATAAGTGTAGTCATTTCTTCTTTTTTTCTTTTTTTCTTTTTTTCTTTTTTTTTTTTTTTTTTTTTGCTAGACTCTCAAGGATCAGTGAAGTGTATATACATAGCCAGTCCTTTTACTGTCCTGTTAGGGAGCTGTGGTCCATGAATTAATGTTTGTATCCTATTGGGAACCAGTTGGAACTGTTTTCCCCCACAGGCTCCTGTGGCAGCCCATTCCAGTGCTCAGTAGAGGCAGTGTCTGTTGCTTTTCCATTGCCTGTTGAAATCTCTTTCCTGATGGACCCTTCTCTCACAAACAGTGTTTTGGGAACAAGAATTATGCATTCAGTTTGTGTACCACACTGAATTTTGTGTTAACCTTGCTCATGGTCTCACATCCCCTTTCCTGTCTGGGTCTTGTCAGGTTTGTGTTCCATAGAATATTCTATATTGTGCATTCCAAAACTTGAATACCTGTTACTTTAATATTGCTGCTGATACTGATTTACACTGTCTGTTTCTTTGTATGGAGAGCAGAGACAAAGGCAAGCATATTGATGTGGAAAAACAGTTTTAAAATGTTGCAAATGTAGCAATTAATGTATGGTTCTGATGTACTGATGTGCAGCACCACCTGAATTAAATGAAAGCCAAGTATGTGGTCAAGGGACATTATGGCCTTAAAATTGTGGATTGAAGTATTGTCATCAGTGGTCCAGCTTTATGAAACTTCTGGTGATAAAGAAATGGTTTATACTTTCTAGTACATCAAATCCAAAAAAAAAAAAAATCTTGCGTCTGATTGTCACTTGATTCAATATCCATCTCTGATGCACTCTCCTGGACAGGCTTTGGGCAAGGTCGTTTAATCTGTCTGTGCTTCAGATTCTCAGTTGCAGTGAGTTTTTTCAGGCTTTCTGAATTTAGATTCCTCAGCTCTCAGGGGGCTATCTTTCAGTTCCACAGAAACTTTTCTTCCTTGTGAGAGGGTGCAGACTTGGCTGTGTCCTCTCCCCTCCTGGTACGGGAGCAGAGCGGTGTGAGCAGAGCACCAAGCAGCTCACCTGCTCTGCTTTGGTGCCCTGTGTCTCACCAAAGAGGATACATGCAATTTCATTCACATTTCCAACACAAAAGTAAGGAGAAGTTTGTCATCATGGTCCTACAAACTGGAAACATGAGCAGCATTAGGAATTCTGTGTCAATGGGAGGCAGGCTGGTGGTTGGTAATTCCTATGTGAGCAAGAGATTGTTAAAAAAAAAACAACAAAAGAAGCAGCTGTTACACTTGTATACAATGAAAAAACTGAGTGATGTATCATTAGCATTCGAGAGCATGGAGTTACAAGTATCTACAGCTTATAATAATTTTTTACCCAAGTGGTTAACTGCACTTCAGGGCTGAATGGTTTACCTTTCTGGTGAAAATTTAGTTGATGAGGGAAAATATCTGTGACAGCAAACATGGTCACTTTGGAGCAACAGGGAGCAGCTGAAAGCTGTTGTGGAACATGCACTGGCCTGGTGCATGTTCTCCCAGCTGCAGAGTGAAATTGTTGCCTGAGAGTCACCTGTGGATGTTCTGAACTGCAAGCCAGTGCCTGAGACAAGGAGTTGCCTTTTCAGCTCATTTCTTACACTGAGGATAAGTAGAGTTAAGGTGTGCTGAGGCATGAAACACAAAGGTGAGTATTGGAATACCCTGCTGGAATAACACAGCAACAAACATGACTGTTTCACCAATTTGCCTACACCAACTCTGATGATCCAGAATGCTGATCTTTTATGCTGTAACAGTAATTTATGGTGGATACAGCTGGAAATAAAATGCTCCAATAAAGTGCAACAGCCAAGTCACTGCAGTTTTTGATGGAAATACAGACATAATATGAAGTAATCTTCATCCTTGGGCTGCTTACCAGTTAAACCAGTATCAGGGGTGTAAACAATTTTGGTGTGATAATCTCAATCTCCCCATGCGTGAATTACAGAAAATATAGCAGTTGTTACATGTAGTCACTACTTTTAATTTGTTTATTCTTAAGTCTTAAACAGAAAGTTAATATTTTTTTCCTTAGAACTACTCATCTTTTCTGGAAAAATCATGAGCTTCACTGAAGTCAATGGAGTAACTGAAGTCAATGGAGTATGAATGGTATATAATATCTTGTAAGTGCTGAATCATTAAATAGCATTTAATTGAGCAGAGTAATAAAGCAACTCAAGAATGGGATCCTATTAAACTTTATATATCTCCTTGCAATGACTGCAATGTGAAATGTATTCTGTTTTCTGTAGTCTGAGCAGCTGTTAACAGTGGAGAAGATGGTGCATGCTGTATTTTCACTGTGCCTTTTCTTGCTGCCTCCTCATTGTGCTAAGGTGATGATGTAAGGGAATACCTGCTCCAGTTAACCAGATGGACTCAGTGGCCTTGTGTCACACACTGTGACTGAATCATTTTGATTTTTACAAACTGCAAAAGTTGGTTTTGCTGATGGGTAGGATAACCAATAGTGCAATAACTTAGTATTTTTCCAGTATGCCAGAAATAAAAAGGCAAAGTTCATTAGTCCTTGCATACCTCAAAAACTGGGAACCTGGGTTCTTTCCTCTGAAACTCGATGTTTTGCAAAAATTATAATAAATAACCAGTGTGTGCATGGCTGGTCCTTGCCTTAGTTACCATTTAGAAGCTCTTATCTGTTATAAAACCCTGTAATGCTCCAGTCCTTGCTGGAAGAGAGGATGAATGAACATTCATTGAATTACATGACCAAAACTCTGTGTGTTCTAAAGGATATATGTTTAAAAAAATAAAGAAATTAATTTCAGTTTACCCTGTATTCCTTTTAATATTATAAAGCAGGTAGATTTTTGCTGATAATATGGCACACTAACTGTTTTTATGCTCCTGTTTGCACAAAATCTTATTAGAGATTCTGATCACAATCATCCCCCAGAACTATGAGACCATATCTTTCTAATAATTATATTTTTAATAATTGATTAATAATTTTTATTAATCAATAAGTATTTAAATGATTTAATCTGTACCCTGTTGGTAAATTTCTGAAGACGCAAGAAGGACTACTCTGGTAGTCATTGATACTTGCATTGTTTTCTATCATCATCACTGCTCCTTGAATCCCTTTGTTCTTCATCCTGCCTCAAATTTTCATTACCTCCTTCTGGCTTTTATCTTTTCAAACTCACTAAAGGCTTTGCTCTTGGGACCTCATCTTTCAGTTTGCCTTATGAAGTACCTGTCCTTTTTAAGTATGCTGCAAAATAACAATAGCATCCTGAGGCATGAAATGGATTTAGACCCTCAGCATTTTCCATGGGATTCACTTAGCTGGGAAGAAGAGTCATTTATCATCTCTAGAGGAAAGAGATGTGAGCAGCAGAAGAGAGAGTTTTGCAGGAGCAGCTGATGCCTGAGTGCTGTAAGAGCAGTGGATGGAGCAGGGGTTCCTCAGGGGCTGCAGGAAGCTCTGCCAGTGGTTGTATCTGTTTAGGAGAACACATCTCCTAAATTAAAGTCGCCATGCATCTGGTGCATAAGTTGCAGGCTGCCTCACATCTTGGCTCTGTTTAGGGCATATGGTTCTAGTTTAGTTGAGAGGGAGAGATTTTTACCTAAATGCTTTGTAACCTATCTACCATCTTGGTTCGGTGCTGCCATCTTTACTTTTCTTGGTATGTCATTTTCCAGTTTATCTGCACTTTCTGTATTGGCAGTGAACTGGGTTGGATTAACTTGCATTATTTTTAAAAGGTTTACTGTGTGGTTAACTTATGTGTGTCATTAATTGCCTTATTGTGATGCTCTATCAAAATAGTAATTCTGTGAACTGTGTGGATAAAATAATTTTAATATATATAACTTACTCTGGTGACCTTGCCCAGTATTTGGTTTCTGCTGTTCTCTCTAACTGAATGCCTGATCATTTGTGATAAAACTTACAGAAAATTTAAAAATACAAACTGATAACAAGGTGTACTGACAAGTTGAGAAAGCCAGAGCTGGTCTGGGTTTCTCTGTTTTGCTGTGGTTTGGGTTGGGAGGAGGAGAAAGTTGCATTAGGTGCTGTCTGTATTAGGCTGAAAAAGGGGTTGTGCATCATCCCTAATGATACATAAGGACTGTTATTCTGTCACTCCCAAGGTGAATGTGGACTGAGTTCCACTGTGAGCTGATTGGGGGCACACTAATAAGGTCCAAGTGTTACCTCTGGGTTTAAAAAGAAAAGAATTTGTGAAGCCTGAAAAATGGAAGTTGTGTACAAGCCTCCAGGTAAGTTTCCATGTACCTCCTAGTGCCAGGTACAAACCTCTTCTTCATCATGCCAGCTTCAAAATCCTTGGCACCTCAGGGAGAAGGGGCTTCCAGGTTGGATTTCAGCTGAGGATACAGCATCTCATCTGCTCACAGAGGGGCTTTGCTGTGCCCTGTCTCTACATACACATACTATGTGTACATTCTGGTTGGGATTAGGCATGTGCCCTGGGTTCCTGCACAGCTGGTGTGCCTCAGAGTTAAACACTTCTTATCATGAAATACAGGTAATTAGATGGCTTCAACACTGAGCAGACAGCTGTGTATTTAAATGTGACCTTATACCCAGTCAGTCTCATAACCTGCATTTTGAATATGGTATTTAGGTAAATGCTGTGCTGAGCCTGAGGAATTGTTAAAAGTGACACCATGGTATGCTAATGCAATTAGATGACTTGCAGTGCTGAGGTTTGGCCTTTTTTTGGGCTCGGGTGCAGTTTAACCAGATGCAAAAATATGTAGACAGTAACTTGTACACTGCTGAAACAAGCCTAGCAGGGCAAAGGTGAGATCCACGTGTCAGAGGTGGTGCTACAGACAGCTGCCACGAGATCTGCCAGTGACACCTCATATTTCCAGTTGAGGGAGGACTGGGAGGAGGCTTCAAAGCAGTGAGTACCATCTGGACATGTCTGTGAGAACCTGGGATCTGTTGGGATGGGGGGGATTTGTTATTAGTACAAGGTTGCTCACTGTGTGTTGAGGTTATCTTGGCACAGGAGGAGAAGCTCCAAACACCTGATCTGGACCATGTTTGTGCAGCCACAGTGAATCAGGGCTGCTTTGCCCTTTTGCTGCTTGGAGGTGCTGCCTGGATGTCAAGTCTCATTCAGTAAATGATGCAAGGATTTGGGAAGCAGAATGTAAGTACCTCCATAGATGTTCCATGGCACTGGTGCTCTTGTAATGTATACTACACTTGTATAGAAAAATCAATGGTTTTGACAGTGAACTAAATCTCTTTCTGTCCTTCTGTGTCCTGCCCAGAATGAGTAGAGACGGTGCCCTGCCAGTAGTTGCTGGAAGCAGAGGAGAAGGGTAAGCAGTGTGGGAGAATTGGCAATGTGCTGTGCAGAGCACTAAGTTATTGTTTCATGAGCTGCCTTTTCTCTTCTTTTGCAGGAGCTGTAGGATATTGGCATGTGGAGAAGCACAGAGATATTCCTACTCTGGCTGACAGTTTCTAATAAAGATATTTTTATCGTAATTGAAAATTGTCTCATGATCATTTCCTGTTCCAATCTGCATTGGTTTTTCCTCATTTCAAGCGTGATTCTGCTGAAAAACACTCTGTCCAGTGGCCCAGGCTATCTCTTGGTATTGCTTCAGACTTAACAGCCAACAATTATCTGGGACACAAGCATGGGCAGCACAAAAGGAAGAGGGAAAAACAAATCCTGTGAGTGTGCGGGTGCTGTTCTTGTATGCTCAGTTCTTAACAACAGTGGAAATGATCTCAGAGTTGCTTGTAAACTGTTGCATTCAGCTGACAAGTGGACTTTTTTGTTTACCACTGGTGGCTTTTCTTCTTTGAGTGGTTAAATAAATCACCATGAGTTATTTTCATTTACTATGGATCCAGATTCTTTTGGATCATGTTCATGTAATTTACTCACTGCATTTATATCTATTGTGTCAGTCATCCTGTAATTATCATATGAATTAATATGATATTTTTATTTTTGTTCTAAGTTAATTATGTACTACTCCATGCCTACTTTACCAAGTAAACTCTATTGTAATATAGTATTACTCTATGGTTATTTTTTACGTCTCTTGGTAATTTTGCATTTCACATTCAAATGGAAAATAAAAAATAGAAATACAAAAATAACCTGGTAATGGAGGAGCACAAAATGGGACAGTATATTAGTTCTCAGCAGAATTAACTAAAACAATTTAGGGTCTTCACTGTTCAATAGCGAAATACAAAGTAACAGAAAAGAGCTGGGCAAAGTTAATTAGAGCAAGCAGTTTACAGAGGAGATGAAAGTCAGAGAAAAAGCAGTTTATTTGCCATTGAGAGCATTACTACTTGTATTAGTAGCTTCCCAGAGCTTGCTGTTAATTGCTGGGTGTGTAAGTTGATTCCTTATTGAAATAATGACGGTAGTCACACAAAGTCCAAGGTTTTGAGTAATGCAAGGAGCACGGAGTGAAGGCAGCTGATGCATTGCCATAGGGCAGGGCTGGTGGCTGCCTGCCCAAGCCTGGCCTCCCTCGTGCTCTTCCAGCTCCTGCCACTGCTCTGTGCCATGAGATAAAGTTCTTCAGTGCTGTAAAGAATTGAGCATCTCAGTGCAAGCCAAGAGTGTTTAAAATTGATGCCTACAAAGGCTTTGGGTGTTTTCAGAGTGATAGTTGAATGTATATTTTGAGAATTGCATTGGACTTAATAAGAGTTACTTCTGTGTTGCTCTTTATTTCTGACTAAAACACGTGGAAGTCAGTGGATATTTTGGTATCATATATGTTATTTCTAATATAATGTACAGAACCTGAAATCAGGACCCAGTGTGTGTGACTAGAGTGACATATGAAGTGAGCCTGTCCTTTTCCTGATTGGCTTCAAATTACCTAAATCAAAAAAACTAGATAGATCTCAACAGTTGTTACAAAATTGAGTATGTACAAGTAATTTGGTGCAGTTGTGCAAAACTAGTAGTATCTTTGTTCCTCTGTTGAACAAGTGGTATCAGTAGTATCTTTGTTCTCTATTCTTCTTCTCCCTACGTTTTATCTTTTGTACCTTCCTGATTGTTTTTTTTTTATTATTTTTTTTATGTACTCCTCGGGACTTTCTTTTTGTGTTAGTTTCATAAATCTACTGATCAATGAACTTACTCTGTTTAAGTGTGTTGCTGTTTACAGCAGTGACTACAAATCAGTGGTATCACAAACTGCTCTATTTAGCTTTAATGGAGAGTACAGCATGCATGCACTGAAGTTTTACTCATTTGTTATCATAATGCCCTCTCCTGTACCCAGAAGTAATGCAGCATTTGAAAAATGGAAATCACAATATACACTAACTTTACCAGCTCATAAAATATGAATGCTCAGAAAATGAATACAGCAGTGTTAAATACAGTTAATCAGCTTTAGAAAAACAAAAATACGTATTTATTAGTATAATACATACATGCATGGGATATTAATGAAAAATACCAGACACATCATTTTCTGTGTTTATTCTACGCTGTGCTCATTACTCTCATTCAAATAATTTAAATTTGCTTTCAAGATAAGGATGACTTGTTGCTGATGAGAAAAATGTGGATGTCTTCTGTGCCATATTTTTCATTGAGGCTGTGAAGTAGAGTCTATGCACTGAATATAAAGCCAGCTGGGCTGGAGATTGTGGACATTACAGTGGCTGGCAGAGTAGACCTTTACAATTCTTCAGCTGCAAACAGTTGCACTCAATGCATTGTTTCAGGAAGTGTATCACAAAAATATAAGACTTTATTAAACTCAAGTTAACAACCTGCCTCAGTGAGAGTGTGACTTCTACCTGAAGGTTTTTTATGTTTCTGTGCTTGAGGTAATGTGCTTAAGTCAAAACCAAGAAAGTGGCCTCAGTTGAGTGTGTGTTTAATGAATGATGAAGAGAAAATTACAAAGACAAGTGAATATTTTATTTGTCAGTTTTTTCTTGTGAATCTATCTAGCATGTTTTAAAAATTCCTCTTGCCCAATGGAGTCTCTTTTCAAGGTAAGGTGGTACCAGAGCATCTCATTCTTTCAATTAGTAGTGAATCCTGTCGTGAAATAAGATGGCTGACCAATGGTGGGAGAAGGTGAGTGATCCTATAGAAATCCTATAGAACAAATCAAGTCACTTTAAATTTATTCCATAAAGTTACTTAAAGGTGAACTGGAGGCAAAAAGTAGATGTAATTGTCTCTAATTATGCTGTTTCTTTGAAGTTAAATAGGTATTCATGTGTTCTTCTCAAAAAATTACTACTTTTAAGCACACGTAATAGTTAAGTTTTTGTTCCAAAAAACTATGAAAAATTTAAACCTCAGGGAAAATATGGAAATTCTGTTATTTATTTTTTGCTGAATGCAAGTGGCGATTTGTGAGAACTACACTGGATGGCCAATATCTTACTTCTCAGTATTGGGTCAAAGGTTCGTACTTGACTGATGAAATTGATGTGGAGAGAGGACAGCTGAAAGACAATTCAAATGTATGCCTTGGCACTGATGCTGCTTTATCCAACTTTTATGTCAGGAGTTGTTTCCTCAAAGGGTGAGTAATGTAATGACATTGCCTTGTTTTTTTCAAGTGATTTGTAATTTTTTCTATACCTTTTAAGACGCGTTAGTATCCATGCGTCAGCTGTTTTGATGGTTTCATTGCCTCAACACCTTTGTGGATTGGGTTTAGCATCTGTGGGCCATGAATCAGTTTGGTAAACATCCCCTTCAGTCTGCTCAGCCCCGTTCAGTGAAAGTCGAACAGTCCTTGTGCAAAGAAAATTCAGAATCACCTAAAAGTCTGCAGGTAAAACTGTGGCAAATGCCCTGTGAATTCAGAATTGAAATGTGCTCCAGACACCTTACTGGATGTCCAGCCTGTGTTCCTGGTTCTGGTGTGCTAGTTTAGCAAAACTGGGACACAGTCTGTTCCCATTTGAAACTGTGACAAACATGGTGGAGAGGCCGTTCACTCTTTAAGCCCATTCTTTGCCTCCTCAATCCCCAAAATATGCTCCATTTCCCTAAATCTTTCTTCAATTTAAATTTCTGGAGTATTTTCTCTTAATAAAGTATGCTGATATTTCATGAAACTAGCAGTATGTGATTCACTTGTCAGGGAATTACCTTCCCATAATACCCCCTATGATGTAACATTACTTTTTCTCCTATTCTATACTCCTCATTTTATGGTGCCAAGATGTGTACCATCAATCATTTAATTTACACTTTTGTCATCTTTATTGCTTGCTCAATCACTTTGATACCTTAACCTTATCTTTCCTTTTTTTGCTCTCAGTGTTGTAAAAAATGTGGATGCTCGTGTTGGTAGCACAGCTGTGCTGATGAACCTGCTTGCAAAGTCTTCTGCTCTTCAAAGGAGTCTGTCTCTCCCTGTCATTACTTCTGTCATTGTTCTTAAGAACAGCTTTTTTAGCTCTTTACTTCCTCTGGGTGTTTTCCTTTCCTCTTCCATCATTTGTCACAGCTCTTCAGCCATCTCGCTCCCTGATTATTTTGGTATCACCATTACTTCTGGTCTCAATGTTATCTTTTTTCCCTTAAAAAAGTCTGGAATGTTAAATGTTCTGAATTATTCATAAATCCATATATGAACACCTGCATCTATTATTCAGATTACTCCTTATTTCTTTTATGCTAGAGCCTAGAACCTCTTTTATAATTCAGTAATAAATGAGAGCCTTTGGTTTATTCAGAGGGTTTTTTGCCAACTTCATGTTTATGTCCCAACTGTCTTTTAGTTAATTGTGCAGAACCCTGCAGTGCAAGGAGCAACAGACTTGTTAGAATAATTTAGAGTATCCCTTCCCTCTTTGCTGTCTCTGTCTTCATGCACTGGCCTCTCTGTGCAATTTGTTTGAAGTGGTTTTTGGCCTAGAATAGATTATTTACTAGCATACAAATCTTTTTTCTCTAATTCTTTTCTCCAGTCTTTTATCTGTGAGTATTACTTAATAGTTATTGCCTTTTTTTCCTTTATAAAGGTGCTAATTCAATTTTTTTTAAGTTTTATTTTGCTTTATGCCATTTATTATGCTCCCACATGTACTTTTTTATTTATGTTTCCTGTTGTCTGTAACTGCTGTCCTCTAGAGCAGTAGTTGGTGTGCCTGTGAGTTACCTTCTTACTCAAAAAGTACTTGTAAAATGGATATCCCAGAACCCCTGCATGATTCAGGGTGGAACCTCAGGTCTGTAACCTGAGGCTTGAAGCAGGGTCACCTCAGGTGCCACCAGGCTGCTCAGGACTTTATCCAGATTAATCTTAAAAACCTAGGACTGCACGACTTCTCCAGGCAACCTGTTCCAATGCTTGACTGTTCTAGTGGTAAAAGATTTTCCTTATATCTAGATAAAATGGCTCCATTTGTTATTTTTCTAGAAATACTCTGGAATAATGTATTTTCTGCTACTTGATATTTTGTGATTCCGATAAATAATTGCTTACTGATAGTCAATTCTCTGCTTATTTACAGTGCTATGCTCTG